TCATTTAGTAGTGACACAGCTAGGGGGTTCCTAGAGGTGCTCTCAGGAATGTTTTTCTCCAAGCAGGGGAAAAACCCAGTGCTGAGGAACCTAAATGCATTAACTTCATCCACGGAGAGACCGTTACCATCCCAGTGCTTCCATATGTAACTTTTGTGGTTGTAGGTATCATTATTCACAGCATGGAGCTGATTAAACTCAGTTGTGGAGCTGTTATAGACCATTTCTAGACAATTTGAAAGGCATTTTCTTCAGTGTAATACTCAGGCTGGGTCTCACAAAGCCTATGTCTGTTCAGAGCACGGGGGATGGAGATACTGCAGTATCCTCCCAGAGGAACTCGGAACAATGCTGCTGGATGAAGCCTCTTGTAACGCAAGAACATTATCACAGAATCTTCCTTTTCTTGTTCCTTTTAAAAAAAAAAACCAAACCAAAAAACCAAACCCAACTTTCCTGGGTTTAGACATATGTTAGACATTTCAAGGTTGATTCTGATCCATTGATTGTTGTAAAAACTGACAGTAACTTTAAAAAATAAAACCAAAACCCCCACAAGTGGTTTCTTAACACAAAGCATTTATATGGAGTCTTTCAAAATACTTTCTGTACCAACAGTGGTGTCACATGTCAAATTTAGATCAAGGGCTTTTTTATGGAAATACTTTTATGGTTTTTGGAAACTAGTTGGGGCGGTCTTTATCTGTTCCTTTGCTGTGCCGCTGTTGTCAGGATGCAGTAATTCTTTTAAGAGGAGGAGAAAAATAATGGTTATGAAATATGAATTGCTACATCTGCAGTTTGAGCTAGATATGGAAACAAATCCACTTGAAAGCAAAGAAGTTTTGGGAGGGGAGGTGTTTGCTTAAGTTTAACAACAACAAAAAAGTCTGAATAACTTGATATGTTTATTTACGGTCTTGCTTGAAATTAGTTTTTCTGTCTGGGGTAGGGTCATGAGCTATGTGCAAGTAACTCTTGGATGAGAATGCAGACTCTTGTTTGCAGATGAAATCCTTAAGGGAATGTAGTAGAGATGTTTGTATTGTATAGATGAACTTCTATATATACATGCTGTATATAATATATATATATTGGTATAACATATATTAAAAACCTTGAGATTTTCAAGCCAGACAAATATTGATTCATCTTATGTTACTATAAAGCAAATAGGTTTCGGATATCATAAGACTAATTTAAAAGTTGTGCATGTGTGTGAAGATCAGTTAACATACGAAACATCCCAGATCCCTCTCCTGGTTTTCTATCTCATACAGATTTGCCTAAAGCAATTTTGAGTTCCAATTGGTCATTTTTTGTTCTACAGCTAAAAACTGTACTAGGTTTCTAGGATTCTAGGAAAAACCTAGAATCTTAACTCTTTTCTTGAAGAGTAGCTTTGAGTCACTTATTTTGAACCATTTGTATGCTGCAAGTAAGATTAATGTATGAAAAAAAATACATAGTTTTTAAAGTTCAGAAAATAAAACTTTGGAAAGTACATTAACAATTTGTGCTTCAAGGAATACATATAACTGATATCAGATGGCACTTTTTCCTTGTAACTGTGTGAAGAATTTGACCTGGAATCTGCGAGGCATTTTTTTCCCCTCATGTTTTACTTTATCCCATGGACTTTAAAAAAAAAGTACTCCTAGGGTGAGCTGTTACTGTGCTATCGCAGTATTCGTACCATTACATCATTTTTGTCATGAATTTCTAGTTTCTGTTATTCCTGTTATCATTTGCACAATGCAAGTCTAGTGCAGTGTTAGTTCAAATGCTTGTCAGCCTTTTTAGAAGGATGAGAAAACCAGTATCAGCGTTGGGACTGTTCCTCCTGTGCAAGAGCACCTCTTCATCCCACATTGTTCTCCCTGACACCTGTTAGGACAAAATCAGTGTGCAGATCTACCAGTCCAAAAGGAAGCAGAATTTTATTCCTGGGCATTCATTCATTCAGAAACTGCTGAAGTTGGTAGGAGTCTGTCCACTGACTCTCAGGGGTTTCAAAATAGGACTGAGTTCTCTATTTCTAATCCTGCTGATAATCATGTTAATTAAGTTTGACCCTTTGGTTCATTTTTCTTAAAGCCCCAAAAATTGGCGTCAGAAGCTAATCTTGGTTTCTCTTTATGTATTATTTTAGGCTTTGTATTTCCTAAGGTGGGAGAGTCACTTACTACATATTGTCCCAGTGTTCTTGTTCTTACTCACCTGCTGATACAGAGAGAAAAAAAAAAAGATTTTTGTAGATGCAGGAAGAACAGAAAACTTTGAGGATCTTAAGAGTGGCCTGTGCATAAGAGAAGACATCAGTCCCTTCTCATTAATTCTTGGGCCATACATGTCACTAAACGTGTTTTCCAATACTGTCTGTTACTGTGTGTAATGTTGAATTTCAGCTTGAGTTACCCCCCAGGACTTTCTGCAATGCCAAAGCATTCTGGAAGGATCTAAGTTAATTCCATTACTTGTTCCTAAGACTGGTCAGGTTTAACTTCTTGTCTTACTGTTTTGTACTCCTGCTGCCACCAGTGATGCTCTCCTGATGTGAGAAATGAAAGGAAGCCTTGAGGCTTCTGACAAGAGCGTGAGGTCCTTCTGCCTCCCTTCCCCACTGTTGTGGTTTAACCCGTCAGGCAGCTAAACACCACACAGTTGTATGCTCACTCCGCCTCCCCAGTGGGATGGGGGAGAGAATTGGGGAAAAACAAAGTATAATTTGTGGGTTGAGATAAAGACAGTTTAATAGGACAGAGAAGGAAGCGAAAATAGTAATAATAGAATATACAAAATAAGTGATGCACAATGCAGTTGTTAACCACCCACTGACCGATGCCCAGCCAGTCCCCGAGCAGCAGCCCCCCTGGCCAGCTTTCCCCCATTTTCTGTACTGAGCATGACGTCACATGGTATGGAATATCCCTTGGTATGGAATATCCCTTTGGCCAGTTGGGGTCAGCTGTCCTGGCTGTGCCCCCTCCCAGCTTCTTGTGCACCTCCAGCCTTCTCAGTCGGTAGAGCATGGGAAGCTGAAAAGTCCTTGACTAGTGTAAGCACTGCTCAGCAACAATTAAAACATCGCTGTGTTATCAACTTTGTTCTCATACTAAATTCAAAGCACAGCACTGTACCAGCTACTAGGAAGAAAATTAACTCTGTCCCAGCCGAAACCAGGACACCCACGTACACCTGCTTTGAAGCCTGTGGTGGGGTTTGGGGTATGCATCTTGTGGCAAGTGGCACAGTAGCTCTGCTCATCTGTGTGTAGCTGTGCATGTGCCAAACTTGCGAGGGATGGGAATAGGCCAGCAAAGAGCTATAGAGCTGTCTCTGGGTTGCGTATCAGGCTGACCATTTGTAAGGGGCAGATAATGTCCTAGAGCAGAGGAGACCTGCAGCCTTCCTGGTGGTAAGAAGATCTTAGCAGCCAGTTTCATGGCTGGAGCCATGTGGACATGCTCAGAGCTTGTTTAGTTGAGCCAGTAGTTAAAAAGTGGTTGGTTTGTATTTTCCCAGTTTTATGCTAGTTATTTATTCTATGTCTCCCCTACAAATAATTGTTTGAATGTAGATCTCTATCTTGCCTACTGAGCTATTTTAAAACTAGATGCTGGTGGAGAGGTCTGAAGTACAGCTGTCTTCTAGGCTTTTTCCCCTGCAAGCAAATCTAGGCTTTCTTCTTAAACATCTCCTTGTCACTTTGTGTCTTCAGAAACTTGCAGACCATGTTATGAGTATTGTGAGAGCTCAGAATAACAGAGTTCTTAGTCCGTTCAGCCTGGGCTGCTTGCCATTGTTTTGTCCTGCATGTGTACCCTATGTGAAGTAATTTTATTGGGTGGGAAGTGTATATCTCCCTATTCATATTTCTCTGTATGCTTATGGTGGAAACAAAGGGCAGGAGATGAATATCTAACTGGTGGGTGCAGTTGTCTAGACTCTTCTCTTACCTGTTGTGGAAAATCCTTTTATTATTGTGCCTGAAACTTGAAGTCATCCTCTGAATGCAGGATAGCACTGGCATCAGTCCTGAGAAACAGCTTCAGATTTGGCTGAGAACTGAGTTGTTGAAAAGTGCTAATGGAGGCTTTCTTTGTGTTGCTCTTAATTATCATTTCTTTCCCATTAACTAGAGACAGATAATTGAAGCTTAGCACTGGAAAGAACATTCTGTAGGAAACAGCCCTGCCCCAGGAAGGGGATGAACTGATGACCCTGTAAGCTTTTCTAGCTTAAATTTCTGTGGCTTTTTCATGAGGAAAGGACAGAAAAAGGGCCAAGAACACTTTGAGACTTTTTATCCATTCTCCGCTTAAATAAAGAGCAGGCACACAGAATCATTTTTCCACGACATTGATTGTGTTAAATGGGACTCTCCATTACAAGTAAAGTTACACTGATCTCGGGATAAATATGAGGGATCTGTAAATAGCAGGGAAAACTCAATGAGCCTGAAATAAAAGCGTGGTCAGGCTGTGTTGACAGACTCTTGCGGGAGTGCATGCCAGCCTCTGCTTGTAGAGCAGGATATAAAGCACCGAACTGCTAATTGGAAATCCCAGCAATGGAATTTGTGGGGGCATCTGTCACACCCGTCTCCGAAAGAGTGATCGCCTTGTCAGAAAGTAATAATTTGATATAGGAAGCAGCATTTAGGAGACTGACATTTTTGTTGTCAATCCTTTGTAAAGAAGCTACTATAGAACAGAAGCAAAGGCTATGGGAGAGGTAATATTTTTTAATTAAACTGGCTGATAGCATTACAGAAAGCAAGGAAGTTTCAGACTCGTGGACCGTGACTGTTTCCACTCCCTGCCCTGCGTCTCAGCCAGTCTAATGAAAGATGTTGCCTATGCCTGTAAAATTTTTATTTTGTACCCTGCTTAATTGTGTGTATAGCAATCCTGCAAGCATAGAACAGCATGTTAGACACTGCTGCTGCCTTTGGAAGAAACCTCTTGACAGTCTGATTTGTCTTTACATTCCTCCAGGTCGGATTCGTACAAGAAGACAGAGCTCTGGCAGTGCCACAAGCGTCACCTCAACGCCTGCTGATACCCGAGGCCGCAGCCGGGCTAAAGTAGTTTCCCAGTCCCAGCGTAAGAAGTGTTTTATTTCTCGGGGAGCAGAACAAATAGTTATTAATATGTTTCTCTTGAATTGTAGTAGTATCAGCTGATGATTTGGCTCACTTCTGCTAATAATGTTGGGACATAGAACAAAATGAATCCCCACTCAGCCAGTGTGTACTCTTGCTGACAAATAGGGTCCCAAATCTGAGTGCTTAGTTGCTGCCTTTTTTTTACTAGTTGTGCAGCAGAATTTCATGTTGCTGTGATGTGTAGGACTAAATAACTTGCACTGGGTCCCACTGAGACACCCTCTGTGTCTGTAGCTGACTGCTGTCCTGGGTTCTTGCCCTGCCAAGCTTCTCCTGCTTATGTGACTGTATTTCTTTGTGTAACGTGTGAGCTGTCTGAAGTTAATGGGATTTGGCATCAATTTAAAATAGGACATTACCTATTTTGTGTAGATACAGGGGTGGTGGTTCTGCTCTCTGATTCACATGACACATCTGTGCTCTCTGGCAAGGCATGGTTTTCCCCTAGAAGCCATACATACGAAGCTGCTGCATATTTGTCCTGTATCTAAGGAGAATTTTGTCACTTAAACTTCAGAAGGAATTGGGGGGGAGGGAGAAAGCCACTCGTGTTTTGAGGACCTTCAAGCCTGTGGGTAAGAGGAGGTGGGGTTTGCTGAAAGACCTGTTCTGAGGACTTGTTTTACTTTGTACCCCTATTTAAAAGCCCTTCTCTGTTCATGCTCTCTTTGCTTTGCTCTGTCATGCTGGAAGGATGGGGAAGCAGTTTATAGCATTGTGTTAGGCTGGGAGAGCTGAAGAGAGAAGTAGTATATTCAGTATGGGCCAAATAGAAATCTTTACATTGAGGTCATGAAGGAATTTGGGCTTTGGTATGCTGATCTAAATTGATTTCTTCAGTTTTGAACCTAAAACTAATCCAAAGGCAGAAATGATGTTTTTTCCTAAACTTAGTTTGGTGAAAAACGATCAGACCAGATGAGACAAGTCTCAGAAGTATTTAAAGAATAGTTGAGTATTCAAAGGTTTCAAAGATTATGGGCTTAATTTTTTATAGAATGTCTTACGAAGCTTTAGGATGGTCACATCTGAACCTGGTCCCTTGGTCTAGTTTGCTGAATCCCAATTCCAGCCTAGCCTAACCAGGTGTGATCTTTATCCTTAAGCTGAACATCGTGTGAAACAACTTATGAATTCAAATATAATACGGTCACAGAACCAAATTCTCCATGCCCACACAGTGGATAACCCTGTCGCAATTTTGCAGACTGGGCTGGCATGTAATTTAGAGCAGAACTTGGGTCTCAGAGTATTGGTTGACATTTAGCTAAGAAGCTGATCAACCTTGGGAAATTGTTAGTCGCATCTGCACGTTAACTCACTGCCTTCTGCAGAGGCTTTAGGAGTGACATGTTTGTGAATAAATCTGTCTGTATTGTGTATAGCATAAACTGCATGCTGAATGCTGTATTGTCTTGCTGTCTTTTAATCCACTTTTTGCCTGTCCTTTGGTCTGCCCTCCTAATCAAGGATCCAGATCAGCTAATCCTGCTGGTGGTAAGAAACGTTTTCCCTTTCTTGCTTTCTTACATTATTTCCTTCACATTTAACTGCTAAGCTTTTAGCTTCCCTCACTCTCTCCTAACTATGAGACTTAAAAAGTATTTTCTTAAAGTCATAAATCCAAATGTGTATGGCAAGTGGTTTTGCTTTCTCATGGTAATCAAACATGGTAAGCGTATGTTCTGCATATTGAAGCTGGCTCATTGCTGCAGCTTAAACCCCAGGTGCTAAATTCTTCTTGCAGTAACTTCAGTGCAACCCTGCTGACATCAGTGAGATTGCAGCAGCGTAATTGAGAGGAGTATTGGCTTTCAGGGTGTGGATGCTGTTCATGAGACTGGCATCTGTCACAAGTATTCTCTCTTTTTGGGGAGGGGGAGGGAGCCAGCACCACATACAGTATTGGAGTATATGGTTTGATAACTTCAGAATCGTTTTGACCAAGAAATTGCAGGGGGCAAGTAAGTTAAAATAATACATGTGTTATGGTATTGTCCATCAGATTAATAGAATTGCATATCTCCTTAATTTAAGACAGAATAACGGTCTTTAACTCTTGCTACTCGTAGTAGTATCTGGAACTGAAATTTTTGTAAGATGTGTAGATACTTTTCAGAAAGAAATGAACATGAATATTGGTTCAGAATGTGAGCTTGCCCGAGTATGTTCTCGTAACCTTTTCAAATATAGTTTTCCTGGCTGTTTTAGCAAACAAGTAGAATGTCAGGAATGGTAATATCAGCAGCAAATTTTTAGTGACTTTTATATACCTGAAGAAGCAAAAAAGTCTTGAATCTATTACTTTCACAGTTCTTTGTGGTTACCTTTAAGCTAGTGTTACTTAATTTTCAAACAACTTAGCAAATGAAGATCCACAGAAAAAGAAAAAATATTATTCAACTCATTGAGTTAGCAAGACTATTTCAGATAGAAATATCTACTGCAGCTGGAATGTAAATATGTAAATAAATCTTGGTTAGTAACTGTCTTGCAGACAACGTGGCTTAGAACAAATGTAAACTTGCTGTGGACTATTCAAACAGACAAGAAAAATAAAACAGGCCAACTATTCAACTTGCTAAAAATTTTCTCCAGCTGAAAAATAACTAAATAGTTTAGCTTTAATAACCAGTCAGACCCAAGTAAGCCAGCATCTCTACAGATGTGACAGGCTCAGTTGGTTTACCCTTTATTGTGCTGATCCGCTGCTGTTGAGATGGTATTTTTTTTTAAATTTTCCTTCACTGAATTAGGAAAGTAATGCCACCACTGCAGTGTAGCGTGAAGATGCCTGAGCTACCTTGCAGCAGGTTACCTGTGCCAGAAGCTGCCTTACTGCAGCACAGTGCTCCACACAAGCTAATTTGTGTTGCTTTGTGAGGAGGTGAAGCAGCCTGTGAATTCTATGCTGCTGCAGCAAGGCTGCTCCTGGCACCTCCACAAGCTCGCGTAAACTAGCTGGGGCATTCATACACTGCCGTGGCTGCTTTGGTCTCGATCCCGACAGAGCCGCGTGGTTCATACAGGCAGGGTTGCAGATGTCCGTGTTTATTGTCCATGGGCTTCCTCAGCCTTCCTCAAAAGCCCATGGGGAACACTCCCATTAGCTTTCTGAGTGATTTGGATCAAATTCTTAGAGCTGATTGTGTTCCAGTTTTGCTTTCAGAGTATTTAAAATCTTGGAGGTTTTTAATTGTTTTTTTTCCTTATTTCTGGTTCTCTTCTAGCTGGTAGCCGGTCTAGTTCCCCGGGTAAGCTGTTAGGAAGCGCCTATGGCGGCCTGAGTGGTGGAACATCCAGAGTCCAGCCAGTGCCATCATCTTCAGAGAAGCGCAGCAAGATCCCTCGGAGCCAGGGATGCAGTCGAGAGACAAGTCCCAACAGAATAGGACTAGGTAAGAATAGTCACTGCAGTGACATGCTGACTGACGTGCTCGAAGGAGGGACTTTCCTGTTGACTAGGAAACTGTTTATGCGTTACTGTTATTCTTCTGAGTTTTTCAGCTGGCAAGTTAATGTGATTGTGGTTTGTAGGAAAGTAACTTTAATTTTCCACGTTGAGCTATAGTTTCAAAGTAGGCCTAAAGATGTCAGGTTATGCCTTCTGTTTGAAATTCAACGTGAGCGATGTTATTAGATCAGGCAGCAAAAACAGTTGTCGTGAATAACCATCACAGCAAAAATACCTCATTTGGCATCAACGGCTTAGTCCTAAAATGAGTTGAGCAGTCTTTACAGTCTGTTGGAATCAAGGGCCAAGAGCACCTTCTTGGATTACTTTAGAAATTTTGCACCTTAAATGGTTTGCTTCTCTCATCCTCAATATCTTGGAGCCACTTTCTTAGGTGGCATTTTACACTTATGCTTTAATTATTCTGCTTCCAATATTCTTGTCTCAGTGACTGTTATGTAAATATTGTATAATAGTTTTTATTTTCAAATTTATCAGCAGACTCATTTTTTAAGTCAGGTGAGTAATCATCATTATATATAAACTTTTGTGTATCTGAATTGAGGTGAAAAGGTATTCAGTGTGCTGTCTGAACAAGTAAATATTGTTTTCTTTTTTTAAATGGAAATGTTTTCAGAAGTTTGAAGCTTATGTAGAGGAAGAACACTTTAAATAATACTGTTACTAAATTATTTTATATCTCCAAAGAATTTACAGGTAGGTTGAAATTGATTGAAATTAAATCCTTACTGTTGTCAATTAAATTTAACTACTGCCTTAGCAATTGTATTTTAAATTTAAACTACCTTTCTATTTAGAGTATGTTGTTAATAGAGAAGTATCTTATTCTTCAAGTATATTGAAATGAATTTAAAGCACCTGAGTGCATATGCTGTTATGGTTCATAAAAAAATATTGCATGTTTATTGTGATTATTTTTCCAAATTCAGTGTTCTTCTCATCTCTGATCTATTTTATCGCCTCTGTATGCTCTGTATGAATACATTGTGCTTTTCTGTTCATTGCTTTTAAAATGTAAAGTGCCTCCCAAGTATAAGAGGTAACTGTTCTGCTGTCACTCTGCAGAACAACATTGTTTTTAGGAGGAAACAAAGAAAGATGGATAGTACCATCAGATATACTTAAACTGATCATCACATTATGTGGTCTGATTTGAAACAGTCTTGAGCATCTGAAGGGAAATTGCTGTGTGTAAAATCCTCACTCTTGGGTTGCCTGCTTTCAGGTATATTTATGGGAGCCTTGAATTCCTCTGAAAGTGTAATTTGTTACCTTGTTGCTCTGATGGTGCTCCCTGTGAACACAGTCAGTGCTTGTTCTTTGGGAGTGGGAGAGAGCTCTGACAGATCTATCACATGTGTGGTTTCCACACGCCCCCCCCGGTTGATGGCCAAAGCCTATTCTTTTGGGCTGTCGTGGGAGCAGGAGAGTCTGACACTTGTGGTGCCTTTAGCACTCAGTTGCAGAAACTGTCTTCATTGGATCTTGAAAATAGTAATATTGGCTTGGATGGAGATAGCTTTTGAGCTGTCATCTTTTATACCATTATTCCATTGTATTTATTACTTTATAATATAGTAGCTAACAGTATTTTATGCTTTCTTATTGTGTTGCTTCAGTCCCTATCTTTCCTTGACAGTTTTTTCATTTGTTCATTTCATTAAATAGACTCCCACTCACCTTGGTCCTAAATATGTCCATAGACTTTTTCAGAGTCTGATTCAAGAAGGTGCTTGAGCACACATGACATCAAATGTACATGCAGTACTTTAGGCTTTGTGGGATTATTTATGTATTTGATACACGTGCTTATCCCATGGGCTGAAACATCTCTTAAGTCTGTGGTCATGTTGCAGTGCAGCGGGTGTTGAACCATCGTGCAGATCAGGCTGTTAGAAATCGGTAATTCCTTGATCCTGTTCGTAACTCATCCATGGACTTGTGTAGTTTTTGCAGGGGTAACTAGGAGTTGCAGCCAGACCAGTGCTCTGTGTGCAAGAGTAAGCACACAGAGTGTGGGTCCCTGCGTGCAGTTGGGCTTTATACAGGAACCAACCACTAGACTCTTTCAGGCCCTTTTGAGGCAGTGGCAAACTAATAAAGCCTCTGCATGCGGGTGCCAGTTAACATCAGTACCTTGCTGCTAGCTTAAATTTCCATGATGGCCACAGGTAATCCATGAAGTATGTTCCTTCTGTATGCTGGAAACCTTGAAGTATGTTGTTTTCCAAGAGGCAGCACGGCGAGGCACATCTGGCATGCTGAGGTCCTGCATGGTCACCTATACAGAATCATAGAATCATTAAGGTTGGAAGAGACCTCTAAGATCGAGTCCAACCGTCAACCGTACACCACCATGCCCACTAAAACATGTCCCTAAGCGCCTCATCTACATGTCTTTTAAATACCTCCAGGGATGGTGACTCAACCACTTCCCTGGG